AATAATATAAGATAATTAATATAATATAATAATAATATAATTAATTATAATACAATAAATAATAGAAAAATAAATAGTATACCCCAAATAGAATATTATAATATATATTATATGTAAATAATTTTATAAAAAATATTATTATACTTTTACAAAATAAATAATATATTATAATAAATATTACACAATAAGTATTATATAATAAATAATATAAAATAATTAATATAAAAAACAATATTATAATTAATTATAATATAGTAATAATATGAAAATAAATATTATAACTTGAATAAAATATTATAATATATATATATATATATATATATATTATATCAAATAATTTTATAAAAAATATTACTATACTAAATATTATAAATGTATTAAAGTAAATAATATAATATAAAAAATAATATATTATAATAAATATTACATAGTAAACAATTAATATAATAAATAATAATATTATAATTAACTATAATTCAATAAATATTTTGAAAATAAATATTATATCAAATAAAATATTAATATATATCTCGTAAATAATTCTAACAAAATATGATTATTCTAAATATTATAATTATAGAGTAAATAATATAATATAGTAAATAATATATTATAATAAATATTACAATTATATAATATGAGAATATTATTAAATAATATGCGAAACTAAATAATATTCTTGTAAAACAAATAATGAGGGAGTGATGGAACCGTGAGTGACCTGTGAACCCAAATTGTAACTTATTAACCCAAAGGATAAAATTGTGTCTAGAACAAGTAATGACATGAAGAAAATTCTTTGGATATGAAGGAAAACACTATTGAAGACATGATAAGAAAGTTAGAGAATATTTAGTAAAAGATGAGACTCAGACACCATTTATATAAACCAACTCCTTCCCTACATTTAATTCATATTTATTTCACTTGTAACACTTAATTATAGGCGAGAAAGAATCTAATGTTAGATTACACAAACGTTTTGTTAGCTAGTATGACTTTACTTAGAAGTTATATGAACTAAGACATTTTTGCCTTTAATTGTGACAACTTCGTAACAAAGTCGTCTAAACTGGCACGACTCCACAAAGAAATCGTCTGAGGTAGCATGAATTCACTCTGCAGTGTATAAGAAAATTGTGTAATGTGGCATAACTTCACTTTGACTCATTGACCACTACTAGACTCGTCTCACATGGCACAACTTTGCCCATTCCTCACTCTATCACATTGATGCACACCTGTTTTCCAAACTCATGCACCCTAGTATAAATATACATATTGTGTAGCTAATTTAATACATCAAACATGAATATTGAAAAGAATACATAGTGTCTTTGTCTAATTTCTCCAAATGGATAAAATTTATATTAGTTGTAGTTCAATATCATCTGAATAAGAACTAATTATATGAGATATTATTTATGATTTTAATGAAAAAGATGATGATATATACGTTGATGAAGAATACAATTTTATGGATCCTCCCCTCACTAGAAGTGGTGGGCACCAACCACAATCTTCTATTTCAAATGTAATTATTTATGAAGGAATGTGTTTCAAATCGAAGGAAACAATAATAAGTGCAATTAAGTATTTTCATATTGAGCAAGGTTACAAATATTATGTAGTTGAGTTAAAGTCTAATAGATATGTTGTTTAATGTATCCATTATGGACAGTGACAGATCTTGATTATTGATTTTGAGGGGGGCAAATAATATATTATTAATAAATAATAAATAAATATAAAAGGGGTAAAAGAAGATGAAAGGGTGAGAAGATAAAATTGTAAATGTATAAATAAATATATTAAATGATCATTAAGTTGAAGGAGATAAAATCATAAATTATATGAGAGTTAGGAGTGATGAGAGGATAAAATTGTAAATATACAAGTAAATATATTAAATGATCATTAAGTTTGAGGGGACAAAATCATAAATTACGGGAGTTACAAAACTTTGGGGGTCACGACCCCCTCGACTCCCAAGAAGATCTGCCACTTATTATGGAAATGAGTTGGAAACTCGGAGCTTCACTTAGATAAAATTCAACAATGAGAGGTAAAAAAAAATGAAGCAAGTAACATATATTTGTCTAATGTGTTATCTATTGATCATCAAAATTTATACTCAAATAATATTGTTCATATTATTTATGAACTAGTTAAAATAAATGTTTTTGTTCCTATAAAAACTTTGGTTGCAAAAATTAAAAGTTATCATGGTTATTCAATTAGTTACAGAAAAAACTAGATAAGAAAACAAAAAACACTTGTTATGACTTTTGGTAACTTGAAAGAGTCATACAACCATCTTCCTAGATGGTTCCAAGCTGTTAAAGAAACGTTTTCTGATACAACTGTCCAATATATGGGTAACCTTTTTTTATAGATGGAGCAGTAAGATCTATCATGTTACATTCTTCAAATAGTTTTTCGGTCCTTGAAGTTATGTATTGAAGGATTCAATTATTGCAAGTCTGTAGTTCACCGGTCATTCTTAAACTAGAAGATGTTATGAAACTTTATTAACAACTATTGCACAAAATATAAATAAAAATTTATTTCTATTAACATTTGCAATGATTGAAAGGAAGACAAAAAATGCTTTAATTTTTTCTTCCAATTATTGAAACACTATGTTGCATAATAAATAAAGGTATACCAATAGCAACAACGTTACAATCTCAAGATGTAAGGTGGGACACAATTCAAGTAGTATATTGCATTTGACCAATACCTTCAAACTTTAACAAAAAATTCAACAATGTTTAGTGAAAAAGACAAATAATTAATATGGGTAAATATTTGTCTTAACTTTTTATTTTTGTTATTAATAATTTTTTATTTAATAATTTTTTGGGTATTTTATTTATCCAAGCATATGAGATGAAACAACCGCAACTTCTAGCTAAATTATCTATTATGAGGTCATAATTTTTATAAGTCGCTTCTTAGTTGAATCAAAATCCACTAGAAAAATGGACACAAGCATAAGATCGAAAAACAAAATATATGGACATATATGACTGCCAATCTAGTAAAGTGCATGGACTTTGTTTTAAAAGGAGCAAGAATCCTATCAATATGTGCTCTGATCAAAATTACCTTTGAAAGAATAAAATTGTGATTTTTCGAACTTAACATGAAAGCAGAGGTCATGTTACGAGTAGGACATGAGTACCCAAAATAAATTGTTACCTTGCTCAAAGAACACCAATAACGGACTGCATGTGCCATATGCAAAGATATAGTGGAAAAAATGATGAGTTTGAAGTCTAAAAATTGTCAAACATGTTGAACAAACACAAAGGTATACAATTAGATTGCATGACTGGTGGTATGATTGTAGAGAATTTTAAGCTCCTTGACTACCCTGCTCACATGTTATAGTTGTGTGTTTCTCATGTCATTTACATATTAGTACATATGTTGATCAAATATATAGGTAAAACTGAATTTTTAAAGCTTATGAACATCAATTTCATCTATATTGGGTCTTTTGAGGGGGTATTAACTAGGGAGAAACAATTGTTGGGTAATCCAGGTGTGAGTTAAGTCTCACATTGAGTAAGAATGAGAAATTTTAATAACATATAAAGAAGTATGACCCATAACCTAATGCCTTAAGGTTTTGTGTTGAAAGTGATATCAATCCTTACGTGGGTTAAACTCATATCTCATTCAGTTGTTGGAAACATAAATACAATACAAGGTGAAAGTAAATAACAAGAGCACAAGAAATTTATGTGGTTCAATCAAAGTGACATACAACCACGACTGTACTAGATGATAGTTCTCATTCACAAGTAAATGAGTCGGACTCAATTCCACATACTTAATAACAACACTAGTGAGAACCTGTCTCACATAAGAGATTGACACTATCTTCAACCAAAAATTTTAAGGGATTTGATTATGGGTATTTCTTTCTTCAATATCTCTCTCAAGTAAGTTCCTTCACATTGATACATCATTCGAGCTCACTAGTGACATTTTCATGTATCCATTATTAGGAAGAGTTTTAATATAAAGACCACTCTTAAACTAATACAAAATGAAGATTATTGGTCTTCTTATAATATCCAATTTTTATTCTGAATCCAACTATGTGACATGAACAATTAGGAAGACCCATCAACAATGAAATGAACCGGTAAAATCCAAATAAGCATAAAAAATACCCATTTTATCATATTGAGGGTCATAATCATAGTAATTGTCCACATAAATAATAATAATAATAATGTAATAATATATTTCATTTTAAATATTAATATATTTTGTTTGTTTTATCTATTGTTATAATTTAAATTTTGTTACTTATGAATTTACAATCTTAGAAAAATATTATATAATAATATTATTAAAATATATAATATTATAAACATATAAAATGGTAAAAATATAATAGTATTTTATAATTAAAATAAAAAATATAAATAATAATGATATGAATTAAAAAAAATAATTTATATAATTTGTGTCATCAAATACAACTTTGATAAAAAAAATTAAAAATACTAAAATTGTCTCATGTACAACAATTTACTCTAAAAAAAACATATATTCAAGACCAAAATCTTATTTGAAAATATGATTTTTTCACTAAAAATTCATCTTAGCTAATATGACTTACTCATGTCCGTAAATTTTTAAAAATTTATCCATTTCAATAAATTTAACGTAAAATTACACCAATTACATAAAAAAAACTGTGAAATTATTTTGTTAACTAAAAGTTATTCAATGCCTGTAGTATTTTATTTTTTTTCATTTCCAATTTTATAAATTTTTTTGTAGGTATATTTTATAAAAGAAAGCATAATTATATTTAAATTTTATTAAACATTAATTCTCCCATTTTTCATGGATGACAAAAAGAGGAAAAAGATGTAGTAGACGTGATGAACGAAATAATAATGGTCTAATTCTATATCGTGATCGAGGTAATGCATCAAAGAGCATGATCCATTACTGTTTTCGGTCCTCGGATCATGGGCAAAGAGGCTGGGCCCAATGGGCTTATGTAGCGGGTCGACTTGAATAATCACATTCACAGTTCTCACTTTCACCTCACTGTCTCTGCTGTAACGTGAGAGTAAAGCAGAGAAGTGGACTTGCCTGCGGAAACTCTTCATTTCATCTCAGCGACAGAGATAGAAAAGCATTAACAATGAGATTTCATGGGACCTTTATTTTTTGTCGTTGTCTTTCTCGTTTGCCAAAGCGATTCGATTCACAGTCCGAATTCCCACACCCGGATTTCCGGCGTCAAGCTCCATTTTTCCTTCGTTCGTATTCTTCCGGTATTCCTTTGTTCAATCTATTTATGTATTCAGGTTTTAGGTTTATTTTAATTTCAACTAAATTGATTATATTAGTTGATCAATAATGGATTGTTCAGAGCAAACGATTACTCGTAGTTATTGGTTTGAAGTCACTGGATACATCGATACAACATTGTTTAGCTCCGACTACCATTTTACTTTAACATTGTTCTTAGTGTGTGTAAGTATTTTTGTTAACAGAAGCGCAAGCTCAACTGTCACCGGAGCTCTTGAACATAATGGAAAAAAGACTCTCCGCTATTGAGTACAGGACTGCATGTCTCAACAAATTTCTAAATCAGGTAATACAGCTGTTTTTTTTTTTTTTTTCAAAACCCCTCTGTCTTTCTCTTTAACGTTTTTTTCACATTAGTTTCAATGACACTTCTTGTAACTTTAGGAAACGATTGGAATTATTCATATTCTTGAAAATTTGCGGTAATTTGATGAGATTTGTAGAAAGTGGTGTCTTTTGAAGGGGGAGAATTTTTTTTGAAGTTATATTGATGGTTTTGAGTGAATGAAAATGAGGATTTGATGGTTTCATGGGAGAGAAAATCAATGGAAGGATTTGATTATATAACAGTTAAAAAATCAAAGGATACTAAGTTTGAGCAGAAATTTGTTAACGGACCATAGTCATGCATCAGCCGTAATACAACCAAAATACAACTAAGCCAGAGGTAATTCTTATAATTGAATTGTTTTTTAGTTCATTATCTTTTGTTTAATTTCTGCTGCTCATTGAAGACAGCCAGAAGCATCGCCATCAGAATATGCAAAAGCTAACAAGGAGCTTCGGAAGCTAAGTGGTTCTGTGGACCTTATTAATGAATTGAGGACCAAACAGAAGGTAATGACTTCATGCAACTATAGCTTAGCAAACAGCAACTTTTCCTAAATGGAAAATGGGGTTACAGAATCATTGCGTTTTAATAATCACAAAGATGTAGAGAACAACAAAGCCACACTAAGCAGTGACTTGTATTCAGTGTATGATTTCTTCCAATGCTTGAAAAGTGACTTCTTTTTCCTTAGGGAATAATTAAATTTTGTAGTTAAGCTGAGTTAAACTTGAGAGTATTTTGTGTCATAATTTCAGGCTGGAGTTTAACCTTCATTTGAAGAGGGAATTTTTACCATCCAAATCTTTGTGTTATGACTCCACACTTGTAGTCACATATTTAGTAAACCATACGTGCTTAGCCAACATACGGCTGATGATGATGTATAATGGTGTCCTTGTTCCATGTAGTCGGCCCAACCTAGTCGGAAAAGACTTTTGCTGTGTGGTTCCTTCTTTAGTAATTTAGTTACCAACTTACCAAATAGTCTTTAGGCAGCTTACTATATATCTATTTGCATACTCAAGTGCTTTATTTTCCATGCTTTTCTGATTTAAAGAAATAAGAAGGAAAATAGGGAGGATAAGGTAATATTTTTGTGGGGTTATATAGGGCCAGTTTGTTTAAACTTAATATAAGTGTTTTTGAAATAAGCAATTTTTTAAAATAATCACTTATTTAAGAAACAAATAGGGTCTGCTTATTAAAATAAGCTGAAAAGTTTATTTTTAAAATAAGTAGATTAGACAAACATAAAAAAGAAGAAATCTGCTCTTTTATTAAATAAGCACCTCTTTAAAAAATAAGCACAAACAAACCAAAGCCCATTATCTAATGTTACTAGTTTACGATATGCAGGAAATTGATGGCTTGAAATCACTAATGGCAGAATCTTCTGAGGATAAGGACATGCTTAATATGGCTATAGAGGAAATGGGTCAGGCCATAGAAGAAGAAAGAAGACTGCAAAATTTGCTGCTGAAGTCATTACTTCCTAAGGATGATGCTGACGAAAGGGATTGCATTTTGGAGGTGCGAGCAGGTAAAATATCATTGCTGAAAATAGATATCCATAATTATTCTTCATCAAACAAATGCTTAATGAGTATTTGCTAAGTTGTCTTGAGTCTTTTTTCATCACTTAATTAATGTATCCGAATGCTTTTAACTATACGCTTTCTTTCATTTTGTTATGCCTGTTTTTTGTCCAGGCACTGGTGGGGAGGAGGCTTCCCTGTTTGCGATGGATATCTTTAGAATGTAAGGTTTCATCTCTGTAACTGGAATTCGTTAGATTTAGGAACTGTAGTTGGTTTTCTAAAATGGATAATGTTTGACATGATATAGGTATGAGAAGTATGCTCTCAAGAAAGGCTGGAAGTTTGAAGTAGTAGATATAGCTCAATCTGATCTTAAAGGGTACAAGGTACATATTTCATATATTAATGCACTCACTAAATATGAGAGGTTGTTGGAGGTGCTTTACCACTATTGTTTTTGAATTATTGATTGTCGCATCCACCATACATTTGCAACCTTCTGTTTGTTTTGTACTGTGTGGCACAAGTTCTAGCTGGTAATTGAATTTCATCCTGCAATTGATGTAGTTTTTATACTATTCTTTCTCAGGAGGCTAGTTCAGCAATTGCAGGAGTTGGTGTTTTTGGGAAACTAAAATTTGAGAGTGGAATTCATAGAGTCCAGGTTTTAGTTACCACCTCTCAGATTTAATCTACATTACTACAATTGCATCTACTTTTGCCAATCACTGACGTTCTTCTTTTTACAGAGAGTTCCTGTGACAGAAAAGTTGGGACGTGTTCATACCAGTGCTGTTTCTGTTGCAATTCTTCCTCAGGCTGATGCGGTAATTATAAATACTTTATATTGCAGAAATGCAAAGATGAGCTTCCTAGTTTACTAAATAGAATACTCACACGATCTTCAGGGGAGTGCACGTCCAAAACCTAAGGCCCTAATTCTCCTATAGATTACAAGATGTGCCTCCCTCTCAACCCTTGTATTTATTGGCATGCCTTCGTTTTTCTAATTATCTTGGACAAGACTAACTAATTATACCACTATGGGTTATCTAACTGACGTGTTCCTACTTTTTCTCTTACTGGTGACTCATAGTTATGATGCATGTGCAATATGCAGGTGGATGTTCAATTGAAGAATGAAGACGTAAGAATCGATACTTATAGATCTGGTGGTTCAGGTGGTCAGCATGCAAATACAACCAACAGTGCTGTTAGAGTAACCCACATTCCAACAGGGATTATGATTGCTATACAAGATGAGCGTTCTCAACATATGGTAAGTGGTCCAAAATATTTGGCATGAATAAAGGGCCTCAATTAACTCCAAAATGCTCTGTGAGCTGCAGTTTATAGCAGTGTTTTAATTCCTCTTGATTGACATGTAGTTTAACGCCCTAAATAATTTTTATCTATACTCGGAAGAGATTAATCGATGTGGCAATATGTTTTGGTGTGTAACACAATTTGGTAATTTCTTATAATAGTTGTGCTTTTCATATGACATGGATGATGCCATCAGAACATTTCCAATTGATTGAATTTCATGCTGCATTTTATTCAGTTGAGGCAGGCAGACAGCTTAAATTTGATGTACGCATTGTATTTTTTTTGGTATGTGGATAAGTAGCCTTGTCAACTTGTAGAAAAAGCAGAAAACATCATTATGCAAGAAATTAAAATATTTTTTCCCACTCATTTCCAAGTATTAGGTCTCTTTCCTTTAAACATTTCTTGTTTCAGTGATTAATATATATTTTACAAGGACCCTTGCTCATTTAATGAGGCAGGCTTGATTATTTATGGTCTGCAATAAATTCACTATTTTAGTTTCTCTGATCCACTTTGTTCTTCTTACACTCTATTTCTCATCTCCTATTAGAACAAGGCCAAAGCTCTCAAGGTACTGTGTGCAAAACTATATGAAATGGAAAGGCTAAGACTTCATAGAAGTCGATCAAAGCTTCGATCGGAGCAGGTAGAATAGATATAATAACTCTGTTCAATTGCCTTTTAGACCCCCTTTTGCATTCTGGATTGACTTGGCGTTTTCAAACTGTACAGATTGGTAGTGGGGATAGATCTGAACGCATCAGAACATACAATTTTCCTCAGGGCAGAGTAACTGATCATAGAGTTGGTATCACTTATCACTCAGTAGATGATGTGATGCAAGGTGAAAATCTTGATGTCTTCATTGATGCCCTTCTATTGCAAGAAGAAATGGATGCAATTGCAACTTTTAGTTCGTCTCAGTAAAATCAGTGGGTTCAAGTTTTTCTGATTATTAACATCTTATTGGTGTACTTAACTTCTGAAACGATGAAGTTTCTCATTTTGCGTATGATGCAAGGCAGAGGAATAAGTTAAAATATTATCAGTTACAAGAGAAGCTTTGAGAGATGCTGAAACATGAAATGTTAAATACCTGTTTTTGTTCTGCATTGGTTGACCTGAGTGAGAGCTTTCTCGTGTCTTGAATTTTAAATTCCTAACATAAGAGAAGAGTTAGTAGGGCCAGTCTGCTTAATTTGGTCTCCCTGGAATGGCTATTTTAGACCATGCTGGGTGGACAGAAATGTCACCTTCCTTGTTTCATTCCTCTTAACACTGTTGAACTCCTTATCCACCCCGCACTGTTACCTCAAGATTTTAAATAGTGGACCCTGGCACTGCTCCTTATCTCGTACGACTTTATATATACATGTTAATAATTATTTATAATTATTTTATTATTATTAATATTAAATTTATTATAAAATTAGATAATATTTATTATCATTAGTTAATTATAATCTGTGAAGCACCGACACGGCTCCCCTCATCCGTGTCGAAGTCGTCAGGCGAGTCCGACATCGCCACGACACGTCGCGGAAGCATGTCTGACTCCTTTTTGCAGTGTCCCTTAGACCAAAAATGTGTCGCGAGGCTTCGATTCATGGTGGATACGGCGTGACCTAGATCCGACACGGTGTCAGACACGGTTCTGACTCGGGTATTGCTTTTATAAAAAAAAATTGAATTTTTTCTATTTACATTCTTTTTTCTCCCTCTTTTCTTCCTTCCTTCCTCCCTCTGCACCTTTCCATTTTTGCTCCAAAGCTTTCTTTTCATTCAAAAAAACTTTCCTTTTTTCCTTCTAATTTTCCTCTGCTGTGTGCTACTGTGTAGTTAATTCGAGAGCACAGACCACACAATGCTCTCTGCCCAATAAACTCCGAAATAACGAAGTAGTTGAAGAGTCACTGTTAGCAATGTTGGCAGGGAAAGAGTGGAGGCGAGAAGGGCTATGTTGGCAGGGAAACAAATGAAGAGCCAGAAGATGAAATTCCAACCCATTTACAGAGAGGGAGGAATATAGGGTTTGTGAAAGAGAAAATGGTAGAGAGTTCATTGTTGTTCAGGTATTCCACTGCATCATGCTCTCTTTTGTTGTCCATTGTTTAGGTCTTTGTTTTGTTCTGTTTTCCTTTATAATGTTTTATTTTTTTTATTAGAATACGATAGTTATGGAATTATGAACATAGAAAAATCATATGTTATTGGTTTCATTTCTGTAGAAATGAGTAATTCTAGTCAGTCTTTACTAGATGATGATATCAAACCCTTATGGAATTATGTTACAAAGATAAAAAGTGTTGGTGGAGGTGGTGGAAATTATGAAGTAAAATGCAATATTTGTAATATTACTTTCAATGGATCTTATACTAGAGTGAGAGCACATTTGTTGAAGATTACAAGAAAGAGAGTTAGAGGTTGTCAAAAAATAACACCCTTGAAGCTTGGTGAACTAACAAAGCTAGACAATGAAACTACATTGAAGATAGAAAGGTCTAAGGCAAAATTTGTCCCTTTGCCTCCGGTTTCTAATGAATCATCTATAGATGGTGTTGATCTCAAAAAAAGGAAAACATCCGGATCACTAAATAAAGTTTTCAATATGCAAGCTAGAGAGACATTAGACTATGAAATTGCTAAGATGTTTTACTCGTCGGGATTGCCATTTCATTTAGCAAGAAATCCTTATTATAGGAGAGCTTTTTCTTTTGCTGCCAATAATTATGTAAGTGGATATCAACCACCAGGTTATAATAAGTTGAGAACAAGTTTGCTTGCTAATGAAAGAAGACATGTAGAGAAGCTTTTGGAGCCAATAAAAAATACATGGAGTCAAAAAGGTGTTAGCATTGTTAGTGATGGGTGGAGTGATCCCCAAAGAAGACCTCTCATTAATTTCATGGTTGTTACAGAGAGTGGACCTATGTTTTTGAAGGCTATATAATGCTCTGATGAGATTAAAGACAAAGATTTTATAGCCAAACAAATGAAAGATGTAATTATGGAAGTTGGACCTTCAAATGTGGTGCAAATTGTGACTGATAATGCACCTGTATGTAAGGTCGCAGGTTTAATGATTGAAGTTGATTTTCCTTGTATTTATTGGACCCCTTGTGTTGTGCACACTCTAAATCTTGTTTTGAAAAATATGTGCAGCAAAGAACACAGAAAAAAAAACAATATTGCTTATCAAGAATGTTCTTGGATCACAAATATAGGAGAAGATGCTATGTTCATAAAAAATTTCATCATGGGTCACTCAATGAGGTTATCTATTTTCAACTCATTCAACTCATTAAAGTTGCTTTCTGTTGCTCTAACAAGATTTGCTTCTACTATAGTCATGCTTAAGAGATTTAAACAATTGAAAAAAGGACTCCAACAGATGGTTATTAGTGATGAATGGTCTTCTTACAACGAAGATGATGTTGGAAAAGCTAAATTTGTGAAGGATACATTATTGGATGATGTTTGGTGGGATAAGGTTGATTATATACTTTCTTTCACTAGTCCCATTTATGATGTTCTAAGAAAAACGGATACAGAAACTTCATCTCTCCATTTAGTATATGAAATGTGGGACTCAATGATTGAAAATGTGAGAAAATCCATTTATCGATATGAAAGAAAGGCGGAAAGTGAAGAATCAAGTTTTTATAATGTTGTGCACTCCATATTAATTGAACGTTGGATAAAGAGTAGCACACCTCTCCATTGTTTAGCACATTCTTTAAATCCAAGGTAATATTTTATATTCCTAAATAAAATTTTAGTTACATTTTTATATGTTATTGTAATCATGATTTTTATTTATATTGTATATTTTATAGTCATGAATGGCTAAGTGAAGATTCTAATAGAGTTCCTTCACATCAAGATATGGAACTTACTCGTGAAAGGGTGAAATGTTTTAAACGATATTTTGTTGATGTGGATATGAGGAGACAAGTAAATGTAGAGTTTGCAAATTTTTCAGATGGAAGAGAAGGTTTTGATGACATTGATTCATTAAGTGATAGGGGTAAGATGAATACAAAATCTTGGTGGCTTGTTTATGGTGCTCATGCTCCAATACTTAAAATTTGCTCTTAAACTACTTGGGCAACCATGCTCTTCTTCATGTTGTGAAAGAAATTGGAGCACTTACTCTTTTATTCATTCTATGAAAAGAAACAAGATGGCACCATATAGGGCGAAACATCTAGTATTTGTTCATAGCAACGTCCGTTTTCTTTCAAGGAATTCTCCATAATATAACCAAGAGGAAACAAAAATGTGGGACATAGCAGGAGATGCATTTGGATCACTAGATGAGAGTGGAATGCTTGAAGTTGCTAATTTATCACTTGATGAATCAAAGTGTATTTTTCAATAATGATGATCATGAAGGTCATTGTCTTTAATAGATTTAATTCATCTTCTTATTTTGAGACTTTCTTTTTGTAAAAAGACAAAGTTCTTATATTGTGAAATAGTAGTTCTTAGTATTTTTTTGTTAGATATCATATGAAAATTGTAAAGTCTAACAACTTTGTCTTGAGAAGATGAATGAAGAAATCTTAATTTTTAATTTATATATTTCTCATTTGAATCATATTTAAATTTGTATTCATGTCTAATATATATAAGGTGTCCCAGTATCCTATATTTTAGAAGTTCGTGTCTCAGTTGTCCATGTCTGGAGTTAGTGTTTCATATATTATACTAATAATTAATAAATATAATAATATAAGTATTCATTATTTTATTTATAATATTTTTATTGTTAATATTATTTTTATTTTTATTAGTAATATCATTGTTAATTTTATTATTTATTCTTAAAATTATCATAATAATTTTTTATTAATGATACATTTATAATAATATATTATAATTACATTAAAAATTAAAAAATTTCATTAAGTAATTATTATTATAAACTAAAAAATAACATTAAAAATTAATAATTTTGCTCTTATATTATTAGCTAAATAATTACAATTATTATTTTTATATTATAATTATCATTATTAATACTTTGAGGAAACTGTAAAGTAAAAAATAATAATAGTAAGTATTAATAAAAAATTTAGTTAATAATTTTTTTATTTTTTAATGTTATTTTTTTGTTAATAATAATATTTATTTAATAAATCTTTTTAGTTTTTAATATAATTATTATTATAAAATTGATCATTAATAAGAAATAATTATGATAATTTTAATAATCAGCAATAAAGTTAACAATAAAAATAAAAGTAAGATAATAGTGATTGTTATTATATTTATTACTCGCATGACCATATTTGAACATAAATTTTCCGATCAAGGACTAAGATATAAGTTGAGTGGTCCTACGATGTGCACTAAGAGATATAAGTAGAGTGGTCTCACGATGTGCACTTAATGTTCTATCTAAGAATGATTGAATTCGTAGTAGTTATTATTTGGAATAGAATAGAAGAAAAAGAGAAGGTATCGAATCAAACTAGAAAATCGATCCAATGATTTCAAAAAAGTTGAATGAAAAGACATATGAAGTGAAATCCCATGTATGATTCTATAAAATGAGTGTAAGGGTGACTTATTTGTTAACTTTTTTACTATTATACTAAAAGAACTAACTTTATATAAAGTTGTTAAAGTACGCTTAACCTTTATATTTAAAATTATTGTTTCTATATCCGGTATTGACCATAATTATACTCTTAGGAAAAGGGGAGAGGTGAAAGAGTTGCATTGCACTATATATACAAAGTAGACCATTATCCCACCAATAATGAGTATTTGTAGTAAATCCCTTTATTAAATAATCATGCACTATGATAGGAATGCCTATAATTATATTAAGTAATGTAATTTGATTTCAACCTGTTTTATAAATCACTTCATCACAAAATAAAAAATGGTCTCTCTAACATATAAATGATTCAAAATTT